GTGCATTAATATCCTTTGGGGAAGGAAATCGGCTGACCTTGCCTCATCTGGCCTACGAGAGACTCTGGAACAACAAACGTGATTGCTCCTTTTTGCTTTTTAAATTTATCGATATGGTTTCATTTGAGGAGACTAAGGTGTCATCCTTCCTCACTCCTGTAATCAATTCCCATGAAAACTGTGACAACTCCTCCTCTTTTACCTCTTCCCCTTTCTCACCGGAATACCCTATATCTTGGAAGATAGCGGTCAATCCTGCCCCTCTTTCAGTGATAGCAATTATATCAAACTCCCATTTTTAGTTTGTCCTCAACTCATCTGTCTTGTTTGTCAGACTCCTTGCATTAAAATAAATACCATCCAACCTTGCCAAACCCCTTTGTGCCTTAACAGGCCTTTAATTTCTGTTCCTTCCTGATTCACTTGCAGTCTCTTCCAATTTTACAAGATGGTATTTTTGTGCTGTATAATTCTGACTATTAGAAAGGGGCTTGGCCACAGGGGACTCCTGTACTAACAAAAACAGAAGTTGCTGGAAAAGCTCAGCAGGTCGGGCAGCATCTGTGAAGAGAATATCAGAGTTAACGTTTCGAGTCTGGTGACCTTTCCTCAGAACTGATGGTAGCTGAGAAAACGTCGGTTCATATGTAGAAAATAGGGAGGAGTTTGGGGGGAGTAAATAATTGGATAGAGCCCAAACAAACAGAGAGAGTAGAGCAGTTGGATAGACAAGGGAGTTAATAATGCTCTGGCTAGGAGGGTGAATAGTTGTTAATAGGGAATGTTTGTGACTAACAACAGGCAGTGTATAATGGCAGGCTCTGTGATAACAAGACCTGGTGTATGGGGTAGGGGGCTGGGACATGAGAGTTAAGGCCCTAAAATTATTGAACTCGATATTGAGTCCAGAGGGCTGCAAGGTTCCCAAGCAGAAAATGTGTTGTTCTTCTAGCTTGCACTGAGATCCGCTGGAACCCTGTACTACCTGTCTTCCTCTACTTAGTAGTGTGGTCACCCGCGCCCTTTCTGCCTATTCAGTCTTCACCTGCAGTGTGACCACCTCACTGAATGTGCTCTCCACAACATGCTCAGCATCATGGTTGCTGCACAGCAACTTATGAAGACCAAATCCCATCGTCACACTTAGGATGCCCTCCAATGCATTATGTGCCACTACCACTACACTAAATGTGACAGACCTTGAATAGGTCTAGCAACTCAAAACTAGTCATCCATGATGGGCTGTGGGTCATCAGCAGAACTGTATTTAAATGCTAGCTGCAAGCTCATGGCCTGGTTCTACTAGCAAACCATAAAGATCAAACTTGTTTCAAACAAGAATGCAGGAGACTGCAGCAGGAGCAGAACCAGGTAGATCTAAAAATGATGGATCAACCTAGTGAAGCCAAACACAGAACGATTTGCATAACAAACAGTGGAAGCAGCTTTCAACATACAGGCCTGAGCAATCCCACAACCAGCTGTCTTCATCCAGCTCTACACCTTGTTATCTCAGATCACAATTAAGCTTTGCAATCCTGCCACAGCCAATTGTAAATGCTAGTGGTCAATTAAACAACTCACTGGAGTGGAGGGTGTACAAATATTCCCATCCTCAACAATGGGGCAACTCCATATAAAAGACAATGCTTAGGTATTTGCATCCATCTTCAGCCAGAAGTACCAAGTGGATGATTCAGTTTAATGAGGTCCCCAGCATCACAAGTGCCAGTCTTCATCCAATGTGATTCACTGGTTGGAGATTCTAGAACTAGGTGGGCACAGTCTAAAAATTAGGGCCAGGCCATTCAGATGCTTGGAAGCACTTCTACACACAAAAGGTGGTAGAGATTTGGAATTCCTTCACAAACAACAGTTGATGCTAGATCAGTTGCTAATTTCAAATTCTATGTTAAGCAAACATTTTAAGGAGTATGGACGGAAACCAAGTATGTGGAATGTGGCCACAAATAAACCATGATCTCACTGGACATGAGGGACTTAATGGCCTACTCCGGTTCCTATGCTCCTATGAACTAGGATACGTGTTTTTTTCATATATGGCAAAGCTGAAGCCATAATAAAGCTATTGGAAGCCAGTTTCAATCAGGGACGCATTTTTATAAGAGGGAAGAGCTTAAAGAATGAAGAGACAAGGGAAAGGTAAAGACCCAAAAATAACAACTGTACAGCATGGGAACCAGACTGCTTAGGCACCCTCTTCAAGGTTGCACTGTGTGGATCACGAGTTTTCAAATTCTAAAAGGACGTACAGTAATGAGGAATAGGTACATAACCATGTGTAGCATAGGTACGAGAATCAGAGTTGCAATCGATAGTTTGTCTGTGGGAGGGCGGATTAGCTCTAACATGAAGCCACTCATCCAAAAACACAACAACAAAAGTGGACACTAAAGTCAAATATTTATCAGAAGGAGCTAGTTAATAAAGAAACGCAATTATACGTGGGAAAGGCCACTGAAAAAATTTTTGATGGCCGAAGCCCAGAAGTAGTGAACGCACTTTAAGTTAAACAAACGAATATATGGTCTAAACAATGCCTCAAGTTTGGAACTTCTCAATAAGGTCCATCTTAGTAAACTTGTGCTGTCTCCAGTTGAAAGTGGACTTCATGTTTTACTGACATCATGGGCTTGAGGAGGCAGCTTTCAGGCATCTTTATAATACATAGACGATTTTTTAAAAAATAGGAACAGTGGGTTTTAAAAAGTGTCATAAAAAGGGGTAAGAGCAGAATTCAAAATTGGAAGTCAGGCTTCAAGGTCTTTTAACTACATGGATTGTAAAACAGATTGAGTATAGCTTTGCATCAGCAATCTTATTTTGAAAACGTTAACCTTATTGTTACTGTTCAAAGTACAGCCTCAAGATGCAGCAGCTGCCAAAACTGAAATGGATGCATTCCAACATCTATTTGTATGATGGAAATGGGTGGCACCTAAATGAGACTAGATGCTTGTTTTGAGGTTTTAAGAGTTAAGTGAAAGAGATCCCAAGGTGGAAGATAGTATTCAAACAAAACACTGAATAAACTTAAAATGGAGCACATATTTAGAAATATTCATCATTAGAAGATTCCAGGAACGTAACATATTGTTTTCAGTGATGCTTCTTGTGCAAATCTCCATGGGCATCTCAAATACAGGATGGCTTAAGTTTTCTTCTTAGGAGAGGGAGGTAAAATGTTGTTCTTTGCTCAAGGAAGCTAAAAAGATCAGAAGAATAGTAAAAACTATTTTACCTACAGAAACTCTTGCTCTTGTTGAAGCAATAGGTATGGTGACATTTTAAAACTAAAATATTGGAAGTAATTCTAAAAAAGGGATTCATAAGTCTGCTGTGGGATAATGCATCTTCAAAGTGTGTTAATGTAAAAAGACTGAGGATCGATATTGCAATTTTAATATAGATGTGGAAGAGGAAATCTCCAAACTGAGACACATGGGTAGCAGCAGTCAATTATCTGACTGCTTTACAAAGAAACAAAGGAACTCTAAGAAATACTGGAAAAAGGATATTTAGAATTTTAAGGCTAGGAAATCTGCAGCATGTAATTCATCTTGTGACCCCTCCCCATACCTGTAAGTCAGAAATATGATGAAATACTTGCCACTTAGGTGAATGAGACAACACTTGAGCAGTCTGACACCATCCAGGACTAAACAACCGACTGGATTAGCACCACATTTACTACTTTTCATATTCATTTGTTTTACCAACATAACATATTGCTTTGTTGTGATGCAGTGACAGCAGTGTGTACCATTTACAAGGTGCACTATAGTAACTCACCGAGACTCCTCCAACAGCATTTTCCAAACTTGCCGCTTCTACCATCTAAAAGGATAAAGGGCAGCAGATGCACGGGAGCAATACCAACTGCAAGTTCCCTCCAATCCACACCATCTTGACTTAGAACCATATGATTGCCCCTTCAGTCACTGCTTTAAGTTCCTAAAGCAACTAGCACTGTTGTATACCTACACCCCAAGGACTGTGGGGGTTCAGCAAGGCAGCTCAGTCTTTTAAGGGAAAGAGATGGCTAACAAATGTTGGATTAGCATACACTCTATGAATCAATAAAAACAAAAAGATAGATCAGGTTCTAGATAGTATGAAGTTAAATACAGTGGGTGTCCAGTTGCATAGATCTTTAAAATGCCACAGGGATAGAAAATAATCAAGTGAGCTAATGCTGGCCTTTAACTACCAGACTGGAGCATAATGATGCAGAAATTATGCTGCAGTTATACAAAAGGTTAGACCCCACTTGGAGTAGAGAGCAGATCCTGGGCACCACATCTTAGGAAGGATATACTGGCCTTGAAGGGCCAACGCAGGTTTTTAAGAATGATACCTGGATTTCACAGGCTAACTTGTAAGGAGAGATAACAAAAATTAGGCCTGTTGTCTCTACAATTTAGAAGGTTAAAGGGGGATTTGATGGAAGTCTTCGAGATATTAACAGGAGAAGACAGGATAAATTAAGGTGAACTATTTCCACTGTTTAAGGAATCTAGAACCAGGCAACATATTTAGAATTAGGGCCAAACAGTTCAGGAGAGACGTAAGAAGGCACTTCTGAACACAAAAGGTGGAGGAGGTTTGGAACTTTCGTCCACAACAGCAGTGGATGTTAGATCAGTTGTTAATTTTAAATTGGAGATGGATCATTTTTTGTTAAGCAAAAGTATTAAGGGATATGGGCCAGAGACAAGTATACAGAGTTAGGCCACAGATCAGACATGATCTCACTAAATGGCAGAACTGACTTGAGGGGCTGAATGACTTACTCTGTTCCTTTGTTATTAGCCCACATGCTTATGGGGAATAGCACTGATATAGACTTGTAGGTTGGTAATGGCCCATTTGTGTAGCAAGATTCAAAGATTTAATTTCATTTTAGCAACTAAACGTTCCAATCATTCCAGGGTCTTTTGGTTCAGAGTAACGATTATGAACTTTATCCCAGTTAAAGTATGCAATTTATCCAAAAGCAAATCACCTCAGCAGATCTTTCCGATCAAGCAAGGCCTTCAAATAATCGGCTAGTTTCTTCTGCATTAAAGCAAGATTTAGCCATGCTCGTCCTCTTCCTACAGGAGTTCTGAAAAGTAAACATTATGATTATTTTTTTTAAAAAAAGAAGTGTCCAATAAAGCACCTTAAAGCAAAACAATTTCCAAAAACTTACTTTAGCCCTGGCAGATCTCGAACGCTCGTTGCTATTTCAGCAGCTTCAGGGCAAAGTTTTTCCACCAGCTCTAGAGGACCCCAAAACGACTTGTTTGGGCCAAGGAAAGTCTTTTTTACTGAGAAAAAAAATAAAAGTTTCGTCAGTTTTGTGATCTTTCATTGAATGAAAGACAGACCACTAAAACAACATGCCCCAACGTACCTTTCAGTCCATGTTTGAGGCATTGCTCCATAACCACAAAAAACTGCTGCAGAGGAGGGAAATCTGCATCTAAAGTTCTTCCCAGGTTTAATGCAGACTGAATAAGCACTTTGATACTAAGTTTCATCATATTCATGAGGTTGACTCGTTCATTTTTCATATGCTCATTATCATCTAATTTAAAATAAAATATAATGATTAGAAAGAGCAGATAAGTGCAATTAAAAAACATGATTTTACAGTGAAATTAACATCATCTATACAACAAAAGTATCGTAAGTTGTTAGAAAACCAACCACCTTAAAATATTTTCGCAGCATGCTCACTTTAGTGCAGTTGTTTTCAAGCCTTGTTTTCATCACTTTTGTAATTTGAGGTTGGTTGGCTCGCTGAGCTGGTTTGTCGTTTTGCAGACATTTCGTTACCATGCTTGGTAACATCCTCAGTGCAGCCTCCGATGAAGCGTCTGTGTTTTCCTGCCTGGTGCTTAAACTCTGGGATCCGTTGAGATGGATTGCCTCACTTCCGGTTTTCCTTCGTAGTGGAATGTATATGGGGTCGAGTTCAATGTGTATATTAATAGCATGCTTCGTGGAGTGCCAGGCTTCCAGGAATTCTCGTGCTTGTCTCTGCCTAGCCTGTCCCAGGATGTTGGTGTTGTCCCAGTCGAAGT